GCCTTCAATCATGTCCTGCTCAAAATGTCTCTCTCTTAATGCTCTATGATCTTCGAGTGAAGTGATTCAGTGATTCGGGAATGTTTGTGCTTGATCAATCTCATAATTTGAAGCTTGATGCGCCATTTGTCTTCAAGGAATCTTTGCATGTGCTTTTTGTCCCTTTTTCTTGTTGATTCATTTTTTCCTTTTGTTCTTGTTTCTCTGTTTTCTTTGTTTTTTGCTTTTTTGCTTCTTTTCTTTTTTGTTCTTGATTGAATCTTCGCACTTGGCGTTTGGTTCACCTTTCGGTATCTCATCTGAATCAATGTCTTAACTCATGCGAGCACATTTTCTCCACCTTGCCCCCCAGTGTAGAGGGTGATCTTGGTTAGGGTTGAATTATAAGAAAAATACTACAGGCTCAAAAGGAGACACAAGGGATATATATTTTCTCCTGTTGTGAAGGGATAAAGAAAGAAAGCCGTTCATCATTTCATACATGGAAGTCCTCACAAAAGAGGTATCCCCAGGGGGTAGATTTTCAGGATTAATTTCATTCACATGAAAACAGTGTAGTTAATGCGTGATAGAATTATTTCGAATGAATTATTTTTTCTGCTCCTTGCTCCCAACATATCTCAATGTTCAGGCTCCCGGTGAGATGTCACAAATTGTGTCTTAGAAGAATGCTCATGTTCAAATGAACAACTCAATGTCTTGGGTTTTAATGGTAAAAAAAGTTAATTTTGAGTCTAAATAAAAAGACAGTGGTGTGATCTTATTGACTCAAAGAAATGTATGGGTGCATCAAAAAGATAAAGGTAATGTTCAAGAATTTCAAATGGAGGTAATGTCAAAATTTGGTTTTTTTGGTAATGACCATGAGTTATTTTGGGTAAAGAATCGAGGTATTTTATTTTGGGGTTTGAGACAGGATAAGAAAGATCTAATCTTGTCACATGTCAAAAATCTATAATTCTTGAAGAATTAAAAGAATTCTTAATTCATTTAATATTCGAAGAACTAAAGATTAAAACTCGTTCCATTGCTCCACTTTAGAAAGTAGCATAAATTTCATCCTTTAAAAGATTAAGCAAATATGAAAGATCAAAGACGTGTTCAAACAAAACAATCTTCTAAGTGCAAATGGTATATGCCATGCCCCCTTCTTCGGCAAGCGCCTTACAATTTTCAGATGAATGTTTGGGGCTTCTTATGTGGTAACTGCAAACAGCTTCAATATCGTAACCCTTAGGATATGTAGGCTTTTTTCTCAGATCATCCTTGCAGGATTAGTCATACAACTAGCTGATCGGGCTCCCACTGTATTGATTTCAGTTTTTTTAATTGTTAAAAATCTTGCTTCAATGTGGTGTAATTTGATTAAGACCACTTCATCGAATCTTCCATGACTTAATTTCATGTTTATGAAAAATGCTTAAAAATGAAATGTAGATACAAAATGCAAAAATGCATGAAATGTTCGAGGCATTGATCCGAAAACATGTCTGTTATTATAAATAATATTTATTGGGACAAAAGTGTTTTATCTTTTAAGAGACAATAAACATATTTAAAGATACATCCGGACTAAATCCTCTAGACCCCGAAACAAGTTGACCAGTCTTCTACCTTCGCCTGTCACCGGTCGAATACCCTGTCGAACCGCTCCGGCTTCTCTGGCTAACCGTGCAAGTGACGAGCTATTTTTTGTACTTGCTTCACGAAGTCTCGAATGACTGCATCTCTAGCTTTCATCCTTTGTTGAGCATGTTCCCCAACAGAAATGCCCTTGGGGACTTCTATCGATAGGAGCTATCTGAAGTTCATTTGTTTGAATTCGCCAACAATGGCCTCCAGTTCTAGCTATCACTTTGTTATTTTGTTATTGTTGTCTTTGAAGGGACTCACCAGGTCAGTAACATTTTTTCTCATCTTGCCCCTGCAACCTGTGCCAACTCAAAAATTTGACTTTGTTTGCTCGGTGTAAATTCTGGTCCATTCGGAGTCCTTTACAATGTAGCAAAGTGACATATTCTTCGATTGCGGGTACCACGTCTTCTTGGTTGAATTATCTTACAGATTGTCTCCTGACCATAGCCGGACCTCTGTGTTTTTTACCTCTTGTATTACAACCCCTTTGTCCATTAATGCAAATTATTTTGGTTTAACAAACATGTTTTAGTGGATCAACACCTCTTTTTAATGATGCAAATGATGAATGAAAAGAGTTAGTGAGGTAAGTCAAAATAAAAATAAAAATAAAAAGTCCTACCCCACACGATATCTACCCCACATGCTTATTATTCCTACCCGGACATGATCTCTATCTCGCAAGTTGATTTTGAACAAGTCCTAATCCGCATAAATTTCTAGTTCACATGCTTTGAATAGAAAATAAAGCAGGAAATAATCGAAACAGCCTAGGGTTTGAAATGAGGTTTCGGGGTGGGCTCTATTTCTCCATAGTCTCCTGGTTTAGGTGCTAAAAAACGGTACCTGAGTTCTCCTTGCTGGTGCCCCCTTGGGCTTACCAGACCCTTAGTCATAAACCCATCACAGGCTTGTGTGGACTAAGTTAAACTCGAGAGGATACATTCCCTTATGTCTATGCGGAGAATAAATTCACACGAAGACATAAGGTATATGAATCCCGAAGGCTACTTGCTAGGCATATGCGTTGAATAAATTCACACGAATGCGTCACTTTCACCCCTACTTAAAACAGGTTCGGAGCTCGGGTTTAGAGCCTTAGATGAAAAAAAATTTTAAGGGCTGAAATCATTGAGAAAACGGTTAGTACAACTATTTACTCGAAAAAATATAATCAAAAGTAAGTAATAAGAATCGAAATGTTACCTTAAAATTTAAACTTACCCAAATACAACTGAAAATTACCATAACCTGACTCACTTACCTGTGTCCCCAGCGGAGTCGCCAAGCTATCGCAACCGTCTTTCGGTTGGGCCCCAGAATTGGGCTTCGACGTGAATTAAATGAATTGGGAGTCGCCACCGATCATTTATTTAAAACAAATAGGTTGATCGAATACCCTATTTCTTACCTGATCTGCGTCTTACCAGAAATATATCGGGCTCGGGAGTCGGTTACGGTCAAGGAAGGATTAGCACCCTTGAACCGCCCTTTCGGTACTACGTAATTTCTAGTTGTTTTAATTAAGAAAATTGTAATTTTAAATTGAAAGGTAAAATTTGATCCTAAATTACTTACCTCTGATTAATTGAAGATGTATCATTTAAAAGTCAAAAGTCATGTTAAATAAAAAGATAGTAAAAGTGAGTAAAATAAAGAAGGTGAAATAACAAATAAACACAATAAAGTAGATAAAATAAAACAGGTAAAAAAAGTAAGCAAGATAAATAAAAATTAAAGAGACACAAAACATATATAAAGAAATATATATATATATAAAATGCATAAAATTAGGAAGATAAAATCAATAACAACACAAGAAAATAGAAGATAAAAATAAGATCAAATGAAATTTACAAAATAATAAGTATATAACATATAATAATAATAAAAATATACAAATAATAATAATAATAAAGGCAAAAGAAATCAAAATATGATAAAAAAATGAAAATAGAAATAGTATGATATAATAATAATAATAAAAACATATATATATATATATAAATAGTGCTTAAATAAAGAAATAAACAAAATAATTAAAATCTATACAAATTAATAATGTTTATATAAATAAGATATATGAAAGAAAATGCATACATTTATATATATATAAAAAATGTAAAATAATAATAATAATTAATAAGGGCAAAATATGTGCATTAGGGAAATAGAAAAAAAAAATGAACACGCCTCGGGGTAGATCTAGGTTCGAAACTTCGAAACCCCACCCATTTTTTGTCATCGGCGCAACTCACGCTTTGGGTTATTCAAACCAAATCTCAAGAAAAATAACATGCACATGCGAGAAATAAACGAATCAATATAAAAAAAGATGCTACCTTTTATTTCTTTTTCGAATCGTTTACAATAGCTTTGCATTCGTATTTTTCGTGCTTTCCTCTGTATCTTGTATGTAAATCGTGTCTTACAATAGTGAGTTACAATAGCTATTTATAGTGCTTGTGGATCCTATCTTTAGGAGTTTAAATAATAGTAGAACTCTATCCTATTTTTAGGAGTTTGAATCATAGCAAAATTCTATCATATTATTAAGAGTTTAAATCCTAGTAGGACAGAAAGGTGTGTTGACAAATACATTACTAATGATATCTATTGATGTGACATAAAATTCACTAAAAGAGATGATATGAAATATGTCATGTTACTAAAAGTAATAACATAATATGTGCCATGTCAACAATTTGACACAAGTAAAAATATCATGTCATCAATATGGGTTGATTGTTACTCAACTAACATCTTCCATCTAATAAGGTTTGATTCACCTAAAAGGTGAAACGTTTTGAAAAAAATAGAGTATAAAGTGATCATTTATAAAAATACTGGAGGTATTTATGTCATTATACCAATAAAATATTAAAATTAAATAAAATGATATTTAACAATAAAAGATAAAAATGATTTTAAATTTAATTATTTTATTTTATACTGAAACCATATATATTAAATGAAATAAAATTATAAATAATTTAAAATATCCACTTCCTTTTAAGTGGAAATTGAAAACTCGACATTATTTTTGGAATTCATTATAAGTTTGAAAATTGCCATTATTTATTTAAATAAATAAATTTATTTATAAAATTTTAAAAATAAATTAAATTTCTCTTTTTTTAAACTACTAATAATATTTAATTTTATTAATTAAATATATAATAATATTATAAGAAGAATCTACAAAATTTAAAGTAAACTAATCACATTAGATGATTTCTCTTTCAATCATAGGAATACACAAAACTAATCATTGAAGAGTAAAATATGAACCTATAAAAGAATTAAAACAATTCCGGCGATTGATGCATGGAAGATAGAGAAAACTCACTTGCATTGTTGTTGTGATACTCATGATACCATTTTCTTCAGGTCGACAAAGTTTACTACTATCATGGTAAAATCGGTGAACCAATTCTGGAGATTGATGTAAGATAAGGTAGTATTGATGGACAAATGCATTCCCAACCTAAAATCACCAAAAAATAGAGATCAAAACTTAGCTTTATATGCACTATTGAAAAATCCAAATAAGGAAGGGAAAACGTACAACATCGGGAGTAGGTGCTACAATTCCAGAAGGGACTTGGTCTGAAGATGCCATTGACAATTTGTCACCTGCAAATCAACGAAGGCCCAATTAAAACAAGTACTCAACTCTAGCCCCAAGTTTAAGTAGCAAGCCAAGGAAACAAAAGAGGTTAATAGGTTCCCCCAGAATTAACCACGAAACTTCCAAACATAATAACCTACCGAACGAACAACGTGTTTTGAACTAGAAAATATATCATAAAAGAACTTACAGGAAAAATATTCGGCGAAAATGAATACAACTCCACGGATTCAAGAATTGAACACTTTTATCAAGGTTAAAATTCAAAGTTTCAGTTTTCCTGTAAAGCATCTCTTGACCCTAGAGATTGAACATTTACAATTGATCTGAACAATAAATAAAGGCATCCAGAAGAAAAATTTACACTACAAAACAAAGAGACAAATGGGATTAAGTAGAGAATTAGTTGTTAATGAGGTTATTTACCTAAGCTTTTAGATTCAGATCGCAAAGAGAAAAGAGGTGAGAGTGAAGAGAGTACTTTTTCTTGATTTTTCTTCTACTGCGTTGATTGCTCTTTCTCTCGCCTCCCTTTGTTGAGGGAGTTTGGCGGTTTCTAGGGTTTTTGCGGATCTTGAAGAGGCGCGAGCAAAGGGGAAGACCGCCGCAACAGGGTTTTTGGTATTTATAGCCCTAATATTATCACGTTTTTTATATAAAACCTTATCCTTTCTTGTGCTTATTAATTCTAATTCTAATTATATACCTATTTTGCTTATATTTATAAATTTAAAATATTTATTGTATTAGTAAAAAAATTCGATGGAGTCATATTTGCCGGTAATTGCCAAAGAAAATATATCAGATCAATATTATGAGTTAATGGAGTAGTAACTCAATTTGAGAATGCTTAAAATTTTGTTTCTAAAATGATAACTAATAAAATATATTTCTATTGCATCGTAAATATGATTATTAAGCATTCACAAGGTCTTTATCACTCCGTTGCAATGCTTGAGATAATTCATTACTAACTCCCAATATATTTTTCATCAAATGCAAATTAAATACAAACTCAAATTACTGGAAAGAACTCAATAACATATAAGGTTCAGCTCTTTGCTCTAGTGTATTCCATCTTCCTCAATAATTTCAAGTACATCCATCACAAAAGAAAACATAGTAATCAAGCTAACAATAGTTTTATAATGCGAACCCCAACGAGTATCTCTAGCTCTCTTTATAACGGTTTCTTGATTTAATCCACGGCCACTGAAGGTTTCACCATTTTGTCATGTTTCTCTTACTTTAATCATTTGACTAGATTGAAGAATTTTTTTCTCTTACATGAAGCATCAACCACATTAATCACACTAGCAACCAAATTAAAGAGGAGGTAACCTAAACTTGTTTTTTTAGCAATTGCAAAAAACACTAATTGGAGCTGATGTGCAAAGCAATGAACATAAAAAACATTCGCATTGTCTCTTAGAATCAAAATTTTAAGCCCATTAAATTCTCCTTCATATTATTTGCCCCCTCATAGCCTGTCCTCTTATTCTTGTAAACATAATCCATGAGTTGCAAATATATCTTAAAGAGCATTCATAAGTGAAGTAACAACAATAATATAAACATGAACAAGACACAAAAAATGTTCAACAACTCTTTCTTTCTTATCTACGTAATGTATAACGATAGCAATTTGCTCTTTAACAATATGTCACGAGACTCATCAACCAAAATAGAAAAAAATCATTTCCAAGTTCATCAATAATTGCACAAGTAGTTTCACTAGCAGCTACACTAAAAATATTGTATAGTCAGTGATACTAGTTTAAGATTACCAAGAGCATTTTTGAAGATTTTGTTAACACTTTCATTATGAGTAGCAAGAAACTGTAAAGTTCTAAAATGTTACCTTGATTACAAGAATTATAAGACTCATCATGTCCACGAAAAGTCAATCTTTGTCGCAAAAAGAATCGAACGCAATTAATTATAGCTGTAATATGAGTTCAATATACTTGTTTGGCTTGATTAGATTGCTTCGTAATGACAACTTCAACATGTTGTTTCTTATTCATTAGAGCCTCACATTTTCTCACAGCTACATTATTAGTACTATTAGGACCTCCGACGTGAAGTTGCAATATGCTCTTATCTTTTCAATTTTTAAATCCATCGGCAACAAATTTATCACCTCCTCATTGTTCTCCTCTAGATTGAATATAATGTATCCATCGGTAACAAAATGTTGCATCCTTGGATACACTATATTCTAACCAACTTTTATGCTCTTCGAACCACTTAGGATTGAAACTTCGTAATTTATCATTATACTTCTTCTTAGGAAATTTTTGTTCTTTTTGTTGGCAAGGATCTTTCAACAAATAAGCTTTTCAAAGTTCTTCGTGATCATTCGGATGATATTCTATAATCTTTGGTCTTTTTTCGAGATCTGCTTGAAGATTTTTAAGTCAACTTCTAGAAATCCTTTTTTACCGAACATGAATCCTCTATTGTAGTCTTCCTTTTAAAATATTTGTCCATGCCTAAACAAAAAGTCAAATAATTAATTGAATTATAACAATAAAGCGACAAAAAATATAAAATGAGAAAGATGTGTTGTGTACAATAACAATAAAGAGACACATTGAATATAACGATAACAATTGTAATCCACAACCATTATGTATTTAAGTAGACTTATATAAAATTATTTACACACTTGATTAATTGGTTATTTAATTATATTATAATTAAAATTATATACTTAATTATTTCGAATATGATTTCATGATTTCCAACTTGAGAACTTTGCGTTATGGAAAACATGTTTATTCACTTTTGTTGTTTTATATGTTTGTTCACTTTTACTATTTTATATGTTTATTCAACTTGATAAAGCACGGATCTAGATAAACAGTACGGGTCGGGTGGGTCGAGTCAGGTCAGATCGATTATTCGGGTAACTATATATATTAAAATAATAACCTAAATTCATTTTAGCCCTTTGTTTTTTTTCTTCTACAACCTTTTCACTCTCTCAAGTCTCAAAATCCTTTGAGATATCCGACCATGGTTGTATGATCAGCTGTTCATCAACATCGTTTGCGGTAGTCAAACACCGTCGGTGACGGCCAAAAAACTCAATCACTAACATATTCTTCGTTTTTTGTGCTAAAATCAAATCCAACATTAGTTTTTCATAAAAAACATATTGTAGACACTCATTTTCGTCCATGTGGCATTTGCATGTTAATTATTTATAATATATGGTGTATGGGTATTACATTAAGTATCATAATTTATTTATTTATTTTTTTTTGTTTCATTACATGATTGCAGGCCTAAGCATTCGACACCTTTACAAAACAGTTGGCCCACACCAGCCACAACCCACACGTGACCCAGTCCAAGACGCGACCCGGTAGGGCCTGACCCGCATCCGCTGGAGCAGCCCGCGTGGAACCCGAACTGGCCTCCAAGCACCCGAGTAGCCCGAATCAGCTAGGTTTTTTAAAACCCTAGCTTGCTCATCCCTCAACGCCGCATGGAACATCCCATGTCCGAGTTTCACGGTCGTACGTCTCACCTCCAACAACCCCGCATCCTCCGGCACAAGGAACATCAACAGCAACAACCAAACAACAACCAATTTCAATTTTGTTAGGAGTCAAAAACCGAATGAATCGGGACTAAAAATAGTCTTTTTTTAGACTATAAATAATAGGCATGTAAACACCACAAGGACAGATTTTATGCAGAGAGATTGCACAAGAAACTCCACACGAAATATATACTACAAGTTTGCGGTGAAATACTCGAAAGTTCCAAACTTTTGTACTAATTTTCGAAGCTAAATAAAAGGTAAAAAATACTTTAGCTCGTTCGTTTTTCATCTCGCATGCATAGTATGATTCCTTTCCTCTTAGTGTGTTGAAATGCCGATGAACAGGGGTATTTTTCGAGATTTTCGAACCTAGATCTACCCATGAGGCATTTTTTTTAATTTTTTTTGGATTTTTGAAATTTGGAGTGAAAGAGCTTTCGATGTTTTTTAAAAAAATAAAAATAAATTTTTTTGTCGCCGATGGCTGGCGTCGATAAACGGCGGCGGCGAGGCAGCGCAGGGTGGCCGGATTCTGGAATTTGCTCGTGTTCTTCATATATGAAGAACAGGCGAGAGAGAAGTATAAAGGAGGGGAAGGACATTGTGTGTCAAATGAAAAAAATGAAGCATATTTTTGTTAATACTTGGGCTTTATATGACTCATGAAATCGACCCATGACCCGAGCGGATCCCCTAGGGGATTCGCGTGTTTTCGAGCAAAATAGGGTTAATTACCCTTTTGATTCCTCGTTACCTCTAAATTTCCTTTAAACCCCAAATTGAATTTATATCTTGATAATTGCTTCGAAATTTGACCTCCATGTTTCGATTCTATCAATTTAGTTACTTTTGAAAGCCAATTTATTTTTTCATTTTATTTAAATATTGTATATTTTTATTATATTTATTTATTTTAACGTTAATATATATATATATATATATATATATATATATTTACTTTATTTTTTTTGTTTGTTTTTTTCCTAACATCTTAACTTTATTTTATCTTTTTATTATTTTTTTTGTTTTTATATGTATACTACCTACCTAGGGGGGCCCCTGTCCTTTTTCTTCATGTCATATATAATCAATCCTTTTATTTTTTTGGTGACTTGATATTAGTAGGTTAGACATGTTGTTTTTTTATTAGTATTTTATATGTATATATTTATTATTCTTTCATTTTTTTTTGTTTTATTAAGCACTATATTATACATGTATATTATTTTATTCTTTTTTATTATCATTTTTATTATTATTATTTTTTTGTTTTATTCTTGTTTCTTTTTTACTATTTAATTTCATTTTTTATTTGTTTTATTTTTTTATATTACTTTGTTTTGTTTTCTGTATTTATGTTGTCATTTTATTTTTTATTTTTACTCTTATTTTTATTATTTTTCCTTTTTTTCCTCGTTTTGTTTATTATTTCCACATTTACACACTTTCCGTCCTAATTCGATTATGTACTTCACTAAAAATCTAACGTTTTTATCTTTTAAAGGTATTTCAATCAATCAAAGGTAAACAATTCGAATCGGGTTTTTAAATTTAAATTTTTAATTTTCGCAATTAAGACAACCGACAAATTAATTGGTACCGAAAGGGCGGTTCAAGGGTACTAATCTTTCCTTGAACGTAACCAACTCCCGAACCCGACATATTTCTGGTAAATCGCAGATCAGGTAAGATGGTGTCTGATCCACCTAAATAAATGTTTTTAAAGTGATCGATGGCGACTCCAATACAGTTCATTCAAGTCGAAGCCCTATTCCGGGCCCAACCGAAAGACGCCCGCGATAGCTTGGGGACTCTGCTGGGGACAGGTATGTGAGTCAGGCCAGAATTAATTACAGTTGTCTTTTTGAGTGAAAATTACAAATTTAAGTTTTAATTTATTTATTCGATTCTAATTATTTATCTTTGATTCTTTTTTCAAATAAATAGTTGTACTGACGTTTTTTCAATGATTTCAGATTTTCAAAATTTTCATATCAGGCTCTATACCTGAGCTCCAAACCCTTTTTTTAAGTGGGGTGAA